GAACCTGCCCGCCCGCAGGCAGGTGTGGCCCGGCTTGGCTGCGGGCAGCACCTCGCTGGCCAGCGCTGCGTGCGGGGCGAGGGCAGAGAGCAGGTGAGCAAAAGCTGCCGCCAGCAGCCAAGGGCAGCCCGGGGGCTGGTGCTGCTCCTCACCTCTCTCCATGTCCGCGATGACGGAGGTTTTCCCTGCGTTGTCCAGCCCCAAGACAAGGAGGGTCACCTTCCTGGGGAGCGACAACAGTGGGTGAGCATCAGAGGGAAGGTCCCTGGGAAGGGGTGAGCGCTGCTGGCCCTGGGTCTCACAGGACAGGAGCCCTGAGCACAGCAGCCAGGCAGGACGGTGACACGGGCTCCGTGTGAGCTGCAGGCACAGGCAGGGACAGTGTCTGGTACACAGGAGAGGGCAAGGGCAGGCACAGGGCATCTGGAGCCATCCTTGGCACTGCAGGACAGCTGCACTGTGGCACCCTCAGCGTCCTTCCCACGGTAAGGATTTCTTTTCACATCATATAAGTTAAGCAATTATATGCACAGGCAAAAAAGTTTGTTCCTTGTATGCAAATAGTTAATGATTTCTTTTGGTGTCCTTCCTTCTCAGTAAGCTATGGGTACACAGAGCCAGGTAGCTAAGAGGTAACAAAGACATTTTACAAGCTTCTGCCTGGACTTGGGAGGTTTTTCCTCTTGCTGAATAGCCCTGTTTGGTCGCCAGCCACGCACAGAATGTTTTCCCTGTGGTTGGCAAGCCACAGTAGTCATTTGCAGCATGTTTTTCTTCCTTAAACACACAGACTAGGCTGCGTGGGCAGTGTGGCTCCACCTCCAGCATTACAGCAACGTGTCCTTGCTGGCAGGAGAGGAACATAAACCTCCTCACTGCCCGCAGCACCTGCCTGGGCTGATGCAGGGCCATCCCCAGAGAATTAACCCAGGTCTCCTGAAACACACAGACATGGCAGAGGTTTGTTTCAGTTTACCCTCCCTGGCTTTCTTGAGTTTGTGCTGGCAGAATCCTGCTGGGAGTGTTCCCACAAGTGCACCCCTGCCTGCCCCACTGCCCTCCCTGTCCAGCTCCTGCCTGCTGGAGAGGCAGCAAGGACACAGATGTGCCTTGCTTTATGGTTTGAGGATAGTTTCTGCAATGAGCACCACTCTCACACTATTACCACACTGGTGCCCTTGCCAACAAACACGCAGGTAAACATTGTGCCCCATGGGGAACCCCAAAGCGCAGGCATGGGGACCTACCTGATGGGCTCCTGTATGGCCTGCAGCCATGACCAGCAGTTGGAGAAGATGTGGAACATGCTCAGCAGCCCCGTGCAGATGAGTGGCTTCTCTTCAGCACTTAAGAGGCAAGCAGCCTGGTGTGTCTCTGTGCTTTGTCCTCCTGTCCATGCCTGCTCCGCATGGCGGGGAGCATCTCACTCTGGGTTGCCCCATCCCATGGCCCAGCACTGCTGCCTCCAGCCTGGTGCACACAAGCCAAGCCAGGGAACAAAATCCAGCCCTCTGGGCAATATCCCACAGGCGCAGACCCCCTGGCTGGACCCTGCCCCAGCAGCCCCTTCTTGCATCGCAGGAGCACCAGTCAGGCTCTGACCCACTCTTCCCTGCTTCTCAGTCCCTGCTCACATCCCCTTTGCGTAGCAGCTGCTTAAATCTAATCTGGATTTAAATTACTTACTCCTCATATCTTCCTTAATCCTGGTGGGTCGGCCCAGGCCGGTGGCTGCTGGGACAGAGTGCCACAGGGCTGCCCATCACACTGCTTGGCATGGCAGGGCATGGCAGGGCATGGTGTTACCCATCTGCCTGCACCTGTGGCACTGGCCAGGCTCAGGCCTCCATCACTGGCTTAAATCACTTGTGGCAACATTGCCTGATGGCCCACATGTGGCTTCCAGCTGAGTTAGTATCTCTTCTTAGGGTGTTCCTGGCTCCTTGCTGCCTGATCCCTGTGTGGACTTCTCTCTGCAGCCGCTCCCTGCCCAGGGGGTCCCTTCGGTGTGGGGCTGGGGGACATCACTGCTCACTGCTGGCATTTCATGCCCTGAGGCACCCCCTGAGCAGCAAACCAGAAATACCAACCACCTTGAGCAGGCGCCTGGCTGGGAGCAGGGAGGTGGGGGGGCCTGGGGCAGCAGGGCATGGAGCAGAGCCAAAAATGTCCCAACTCCTTCATCAGCGGTCCTGAAGCTCTCCTCTTGCTCCTCAGGTTTCCTGCTGCTTCCCCCTGCTGGGGCTGCCCTCCCTGGCACGCTGCCACTCTGTGGACAGGGAGCCACATGGGAATGTCTGAGCTGCAGCTCCTCTGGGTGTGAGGAGTGGGGCCCAGGGGGATAAAGACATGAGGCCCTCCAAAAGCCACACTGGGGAGCAAAGAAGGGTTCCTCTGCCTCACATCAGCCCGTGCTAAACCACTTAGTGCCAGCAGCACTACCTTGACCATCTGAGCCTCAGCCATGAGCCCAGGATGCTGGGATACTGCCAGCATCCCACAGCTCTGGGATGGCCCCAGGTGTGCAAGGCCAGGCTGGGCACAGCCCCTTGCTCCAACCACACACGCTGCTGGGAAGCTCGGACCCCACCCCTGGGCCAGGGAGCTGCCCCAGAGCCCCACTGTGGGCAGGGGAGCCACGTCTGGTTAATCATTGATGGAGGAAGTTTCCACACTGATATCACAGCCACACGCAACAATATTTGGGGTGGTTCTTCACCCCCATGCTGCTGATGGTGGGGCAGTGGCTGTCCCTCAGCTGCCTTAGGCTGGCCCAGGGACAGAGCCCTGTCCCCATCCTGATGGCCTTTTCCACTTGGTCCCATTTTGGCAGCCTGCTGGGACCAGCAGCAATGCCAGGTTTGCAGACAGCGTGGGGCTGGGAAGCCTTTGGCAGAAGGAGCCGTACCAGGGCCAAGAAGACTTACTGAAAGTATCAGATCCTGTCTCTGTGCCTTGGGGTGGCACTGCCAGGGGACAGCCAGGCAGGGGGCAGGAAGAGGCATGACCACAGGTGCTATGAATAGGGAAGTGCCATGTGGCAGGCAGCCCGGGAGCCAGAGGCACGGTCTCCCTGAGGGGCAGCAAGAGCTGGTCTGTCTCCAGCAATGACGGATTTCCAGAAGTCTCTGAGCACTTGGGCCTCTGCTGCTTTTAACACGTGTGTCCAAAATCCCTGACCACACCAGTGCCAGGGACTGGGAAATCCCGGGGAGCCTGAGGCAGCTCCAGGTCACCACTCCCAGTGCACACACACACACACTGGGCTCAATAGCCAGGAAAGCCCCAAAATCCACCATAAAGGTGGTGAAACCCACACTGGACTCCGGAGAGGCAGCACGAGGGCCAAGCCCAGACCGATGGGCGTTTTGCCGGGCCCGGGCTCGGGTTACAGAGCAGGAGGGTGGCCCTTTGCCTGTGCTGCCAGGCTGAGCCACAGCCCCTCTGCCAGCACTGCAGGGACCCCTGGGCAGTGCCAGTGGGACCGAAGCAGCCGTCCGGGTTTCCTTGGTGACTGTTGCCAGGTGAGGAACTCTACAGCAGAATTTATTATCTTGGTGGATAACAGCTCAGCTGTTACTGAGCTGTGCCCTGGCACCTTGCTGGGCTGGACCCTCTAGTGCTGCTGGTGCCAGCAGGAGCCCTTGAGAGAGGGCTGTGCCCAAGCATCGGGACTGCTTGGTCCCTGGCATCACTTCCAGGAAGGTGGCACGTGTCTTGCAGCTATTTCTGCCCACTGGAGCGTCGCAGGCAGGGGAAGGAAGCGAAACCACAGGGACCCTGGAGCAGTGCAGATGGACGTGGGCTGGCGGGCTGCCCTGACCTGGCTTCCCTAGACCCCGTGAGTACATGTCTGAACCAGCATCAGGCACTCTGAAACCCCCGCCTGGGACCCCCAGAGTGGGGAGAATGGCAGTGGCAGGGTT